AAAAAAAAAAAAAAAAAAAAAAACAAAATAAAAAACAAAAAAATAATAGTTAAAGACAACGGAAACTCCGCGGCGAAACACAGTGACACTTATGCGAGTGAACGTTAGGGGTCGGAGCGCGCGGAATAGGCGTGGCGGCGGCGGCGGTATGAAGAGTCCTTGGGGGTCGTTAGAAACCCCGGAGTCCGCGGTGTGTAATATCGATCACGCCGGTATATTATTATCATTATTATATTATTATTATTATATATAGCGTATAGAGTAATGATTTCGTCGTAGGGAGAGAGAGAGAGAGAGAGAGAGAGTGAGTGAGAGAGTCGAGACGGCGAGATACGCGAGAGGGCCCCGGCGAGGGCTATTATAACGCGGTTTACGATTTATTTGATCCGGCTCGCTATAAATAACACGATGTATAATATCGTTATTATTATTATTATTATTATTAAACGCCGCGGAGACCGCGTGCATAAACCGCCATATAATATAATAATATAATAACATAATAACGCGTTTAATGGATTTTTCGAAAAAAAAAAAAAAAAATAATAAAAAATTTTCCTCCTCCTCGTCGCCGCGCGTTCTCTTTCGCCGAGGGTTTTCGTGTTTGTCCCCCCACCCCTCCCGTACGCTTCTTCTTTTCAGCGACGACGACGGGAAATGAACGTCCATAAGTCAAGATAAAAACGTTCCCGCAGTCATAATAATAACAGCGGCGGCGGCGTATGTAACGGGCCAGACCGAAGAAAAACCGCGAAACGATAATGTTATCACAGCGACTTAATTACGCATATAATACGAGTGCACCACTGTATATTATACGACCCCTCGACCCCGCAGCCTGGGCGTTAAGACGACGACGACGACCTCTGAAAATATGCGTTTTTTCGTTTTTTTTTTTTCTTATTAATTTTCCCGTTGCACAGTTTAATATCACGTTTGTGTACGTTATGTGCGGCCGTATATTATGCCGGCGTATTCTTATGTGTTATTATTTCCGTAAGCGTTTCATTCGGAGTTTCGTTTTACTTTTAGATTCTGCGGTAGAACGAGTAATGCGTATTGGTTTTACAATGATGTTTATTTTTTTTCTTCTGTGGACAACTTTTCTACCAGCAATTTCGGTACGATTTTCAGTTTTTCCGAAAAGAAATCCGACCGGAGTGATACTTAAAGAATATAATTTTTTTGATTTTCTTAAGAGTTTTCACAATAAACGGAGAAAACTGGGAAAAAACGGAGGAAAACCCTGGGAAATAGGTACGATATTAAACTAATACGATTAAAGAATTTATGTAGTAAATAAGTAATAATATTTTACCATCATAATTTGATAAAGCAACACTAATAACCGAACTCAGCTCAGAATCGTGTTTCGTTAGCAATGGTTAATCGTTGGGTAAAGATATACAATAAATTTCCCCTCTGTCTTCCCAGCTTCTCACCTACAACAGTGGCACACCCACCGTGCGAAGTATGTTCGTATTTTTTTTTACTGTCATACTTAAAGCCTCCCTCGGTGGAAAGCCCAGGCGGGCGATTCAAGTACGGTATCGTTTCTCTAGGGCGTAGGAATCATTCATCTTATAGTTGACAATACCATTCTCCCGGTGGGAGGTGATCAGTATACAGTACGGTGCCTCTACCAGTCGTAAGAGCCGGAAAACGGGGTCGTGTCAGCTCGAAAGTCGATCATTATCATTGTCATCATTATCAAATATTTCATATTATCGCGCAGGGTGATCGATATAACGTAAGACACTCGTTGTCTCGGAAAGTACTAACTATTTTCGGAATTTGATATTTAGATCACTTACGAAATAAACAGTTCTAAAATGTTAGGGGAGGGGAGTGGTAAAACACTATTAAAACGCTTCGTGCCACCGTGCCGCCACACAAATTATGTGCTACTATGCTCTCCAAAACTTAAAAATAGAATTTTACGCCTATTATACCCCGTCTATTTATGGAATATTTATTATACGTTGCCGCTTTTAAAATTGAAAATAGATAGTGACTTCACCCCCTAAAATGTGCCGAAAAAAGAGTAACGTGACATTTTCAAGCCACCTATTTCGTTTATATTCTACAAAAACAAATTCTGAAAAATGTTCATACTTTTCGTGATGTTGAGTGAATTATGTTGTGTCTATAACATAACTATAGTCAAGTAAATAATTCGATTTTCGTACTAAAAATAAGAGTAATCATGTATCAGCCCCTTTTAAGGGGCTCGATACGGAGGAAAAAAGTGGCCTATATGTTATTCCTGATCTAGAATTATGTATGTGTATCCAAAGTTTGAGTTCGATCCGTTCAATAGTTTTGTCACGAAGTGGTAACAAACATCCGTCCGCCCATGCAGACAAATAATCCAAACAATATCGAATGTGAAATAAAACATCAAACAAATACGTTTCGTAGGAACACGAAGTGTTTTGAATTTGTTTTAGACTTGAGTACGGCCGAGAAAAGCGACGGGTTTTTAACACTCAAAACACCCTCCCCCCCTCCCCTCGGCTACGCGCCTGTGAAATCCTGTCGATTTAGTTTGTGATCAAGCGAAGCGTTCGTGTGTTCGTTTTTGGAAATGGTTACGCGATTTGCTTTCGACGTTGATAATTACGCGCGTATGCGTTGCACGCCGGTAAAAATTCCTCGGATTTTGAATTTCTAGCGCAATAGTTTTCTGCAATTCGATTAGAAATAAGGCAGTGAAAACGCATTTCCGGTTTTTGTATTACCGATTTTCACGCAACTGCGTACCACCTCCCCCTAAAACCTACTGTAAGCCAGACCCGCTCGTCATTCAGATAAATCGGAGGGACACGCGTATCGAGTCGTGCGACCGGAGGACTCCGTATGAAAGAAAAAAAAAAAAAACAACAAAACAATAGCAATTTGTAAGTTTGCAAAGTCATAACGGAAAACAGTATGACTTTTAAAAGTTAATTATATTTTGAAATTGCAACGGTGCACGGTGGACCTACGTTGCGACCGCTGTAACGAGATCAATTCAGACCGTCCCGCGTGCCTTGAAACCGGTTTTAAATGCAGTTCGAATCCCTCTACCCATTACATACCTATTACAGTAACACGATAAGGCCGTTTGATTCGGTGAGAGTCATTTTTGCCGGATTTCGGTGTCATCCGACCCCGGGTGCGACGGCTCGTTTCGAACGGGCGAAACGTAAATACGCGACCCGGTCGTCCGGCGCGGTATGCGTTCGCGTTGGTCCCGTTCCGTTCCCCCGGTCACCGACAACCCCCCCCGGGGTCGAATATTATTCGGAGCGGGCGCGACGCGAACCACGGTCGCGTTTTACATGCGCGGCGGACCGCGGGCCGGCCCGGGCGAGCGCGCGCGGGAAGTTACAACCGACCCCGGGCGGATGATACGTGAGAAGGGTAAAAAGCTCGAGGCGGCGGCGGACGTTAGACCGGACTGTACAACGCGATATCGTATCCTGGCGCGCGTCGGACACGGACGCGGCGGCGGCACCACGAGCGCCGGTAATAACGTCGGCGGCGGAAGAGTTTTATTGTCCGGTCGCTAAAAGCGTGCGATACCGGCTGTCGCCTCGCGCCACGATATCGCGTTATCCTGCGGGACGTGTTTAATTTGTCTGCGACCGGATTACGGGACCGTCTAGGCGGCGGCGGCGTCCCGGGCCCCGAGGGGCGAAAACCGTCGTGCCCGACACGAGAGCGTCGTCGCGCGTACGCCGCCCTCCGCCCTCCGCGTACCCTAATGGCGCGGCGGGCGCGGACGGTTTCCGCGTTCCCGTAGGATATTGCGTGACGGCTCCGGCACGGTCCCGCCGTTTCCCCTTTCGTCCGACGCGACAAGGCCAGGTACTCGAGCGGCCCGCGTGAACACGAAGAAGTGTATGAAAAAAAAAAAATAATAATAATAAAAACTTTTGTAAAATCGAGGCGTTTGCGAAGCGATTGCCTTGGTTACCTTGGTTAGGCGGTTTTCAAACCGGGTGCGGCGATTTTTCGAAAGTTTTTTTTTTTTTTTTGTCTATCGGCGACCAATCTCACTGAATTGTGGCACGCGAAAACCGATGCGTCCGTGACGTTTTGTGCGTTTACACACTCCAGCGGGTCGTAATGAAAATATTATAACGTCGTCGGACGAAACTATGGCTGGACATTTTAATCTTCGGGAAACTAAAATTAACCACGGTAATCTAGTCAATAATTATGTTTCCGCGTACTGCAGCTCTAGGCAGACATTGTTTTGTCGGTTATAAAGGTGAATAGGTACATAATACTTTCCTAACGTTAACATCGGAAACCGGGTACGAGGTCCTTTCAATTAATTTATTAGCGACTAGGTTCATTTGAAACTCGGCGAAGAAGATAACTGCTGTTCAATTAGAAATTATTAAAAATATCCGAAATCGAGATCCGTAAAAGCGCCGACTATTCCTTGCCGTTGTCAACGCCGAACCGTACGACTACCATTCAAATTTGAACTTCAAACGCGTTTTACGCTCCGTATAAAACGTCCAAGCGATTCTGATCGGCCGACACAATTTTACTCGTATAAAATCATAAAAGATGTCAAAATGCAGTTGTAAATATGGTTAGGAAATTTCAAAAATTGACCGCGTCTAAAAACGCTAATATAGGTATTCCGTGAACGTTTTACGTGGCTTGTTAACCGAATTACAAACGATTTTCCGGTATTCGCCAATTATTGAGAAAACTGCAAAGAAAAAAAAAAATGACCTTTTAACGCATCGACTAGATCCGAAAGGGACACAAAACGTACGGACATCACGGACGTGCGCAGTGTCACCGTACTCGCCCCGGACGAATGTCCGCGGGTTGGCCGCCGTCTGTGCCCCGTCGAGTTTTTCGGCGCCAATTCTCGCGGTTAAAACGTTTACGGGGCGCGAAAAATTTAATTTCCGATCGCGTCTACGCCTCCGTACGCTGCCGTTTTCGCGACAAGTATGGTCTTTTCCCCCCATAAGCCGGTTGTTATTGCGGCGCTCTCGTAGAGACGATATTTCAATTGGGCGGTCAAACGGCGTGCCGTGCAGACAATAATAATTAACGCGCCGAAGCCATACGAAAAACGAGAGATGTACGCGAAAACGAACGGGGTCTCGGAACTCCGGAAAACGCGTCTTGTCGGTATAGAGCGTCGTTTCAGACAAAGTTCTGATGCGGTTGTTGCCGTATACGTTTTTCTTTTTTCTTTTTTTTTTTTTTTTTGTTAATTTTTCCGTCGCCCGCGCCGTCAACTCGATAATGACTTCTGCAAACTGTTGGACGTGTGCCTACACCCGAGCGCCACGGTTATCCGCGTCCGGTGCGAAAATAACAGGTAAGACGACCGATCGAATATTAATCCACCGCACGCACTATACGGTTTGTTTGTTTTTCGAATTTTAAACGCTACGCTATCGCTCCAACCGCGTTTTAGCGGGGATCGTACTGTTATAAACTATAAGAGATTGTGCGTGGTGTCGCGCTTTACACGGCCGCGAGGCGTGGCTCACTGACGATTTGGAAAAAAGATTTGTTCGAAATGCGGTGAAAAGCCGAGTGAGAGTGACGAATGGTGCTGGACGTACTAACTCAGGTCGGAGAAACAAGAACCGTAATAAACGTCACAATGCGGCGACTATGGGATATTGCGGGACACACAGTTATAGGGAACGATAAGAGGTTAGGTTAGGTTAGGTTATCCCTGCAACAATCGAAGATTCGATTTAACGACGAATACCACCAGGAAGACAAAGAAATGCATACGCGTCTCAACTGAAAACAGAAGATACAGTGTCCTTAAAATATTCTTCCCCCCCATAGGAAAACATTTTTTCCCTTAGAAAAAACAGTTTGAAACTTTCATACCGTATGCATTATGTATGTCCGGATAGTTTTTCTAAAAAAACATTTTTGAGAACGAGAGAAACGTAGCGATAAACATTTACGGCGGATTAAAGAGGCTTGCTGGTGACCGTGGAAAATGAAGAACGAAGTCAACCCAATAACGCTTGATAAAAAAAAAAAAAAAAAAACGAGTTTAAAAAATAACTTTTCATCGGAGTTTACGCATGTCTTGTAATATTTCGGTATGAAGACATATGGTTATTTTCGTAGGAGTTCAAAACGGTGTCGGGAAATTTCTTATCACGTATACATACATTTTTTTTTTTTTTTTACATCGTCGTTGACTCTCGAAAGCGGGAGATTTGGCTCCCCTCCGGAATCACGTCCGTTTCTTTGGTTTTTTTTTTTTGTTTTTAGACGCTTCTATTATATTTCTCCTATACGAGAATTGCAAACGGAATGCAAACGTTTGGAGGTTTTTTTTTATAGACCGAATTAAATTAATGTTCACATACATACATATACACGTTGTACAAACTACGACTTTTCATTATTATTGTCGCCGATACTCCATAAAAAAAAAAAATAATAATAATAATGATAAAAAATAAAAAATAATAATATCCTGAATATACGTCGTCGATTGTATAGTGTATTTTTATTTCGTTTTCGGGCAAGCGGAGAGGAAACGGAAACCGTACAAAAAACTATACTAAAATACGGCAAAACGTTACAACGGCGACGCAGTATATTGTCTGTAAAGAAACCATAAAAATTTGATCGCTCGTAATTGAACTTGTTTTCAAACATTTACACTGAAACAAACTTGAAATTGAAAATGTAGACACCTATCTATCTAATTTTTACATTAAAAAAAAAAAAAAAACAAAAAAAAAATCACTCGGTTTTTTACGGTGGATACGATTTCCAATATAGTGCGTCCGCTTATATTATTTGCCAGTTTTAGGAATCATCATCATCATCACAATATAGCATCACGACACTGTGAGAGTTTGGGTTGCCGCTATAACCAACCTCCAATAATCGCAGTCTTGTATCCTCTCTAGCTTTTAATCATTTACGTCCGGTTTCTCCAGATCTTGTTTTATTTTTACAGTCGACTTTTGTCGCGTAGACTCGTCGGTTCTTCGGTCTGTCTCTGGGCCTTTTACCCGTTGGTTATCATTGAACCAATGCCCTAAACTGATCGGTATCGTTGATTTTCATTGGGTGCCCAAAAAAATCAATTATCTGTCTTTTTTTTTTTTTATAAAAATATAAAAAAATTGTTTTATATTTTTTCATATGAGATACGTTGGCGGACTTGAAAATAAGCGAAATAATCATGAAATCGATAATTTATAATACTGATTGCGCAACTGCGAATACAGTTATGTCGAACACTCATCGCTTGCACACGGTTTTAACATTATTAACACGATTTTCCATCGTGCCTATCCATTTTGTGATTGGTTAATAATATACCATCCGGCTGTGTGTGGACTTTTTGAAAATAATACCGTGCATATCAAGAACGCGGTACAATCTGATGTTTTATTAAGTAGACGTTTTGAGTTGTGTGCTGGCGTTTTAGCATTAGCACAATGGCGAATAAAAACGAATTTTTATCTACGCGATATAAAAGAACATCAAAACAGATGTTTCGCATCCTCATCGCAAAACACAAAGACTTGTTGCATTATTCATGTACATAGATTTAACATTTATTTTCACTTCGTATATTACTATTATGTATTTTTATTCGAATAAAATAAAGATAAAATACTTTATATTTATTTTTAATAAAAACCACTCGAAGAGGATTATATTACACGGGGTAGGAGATGATGTTATAGGAATTCTCTATACAACTATATTCGTGATTATGTTACGGATAACCGTTTGAAACGGAAATTTCCGAGAAAACTCGTATAAATTTAGTTCAGAGACGTAGTCAATGGTGTATAGTGTCCCGGCCTTCTTGCAGATATGTTTATGGTAATTACGTATGCGTAATTCTATTCAGCCGGGTCCGTTATTAAATCATTTTATAGTTTTGTTTGACACGTTTTTCGTAGTATTGTTTAATAACGCATTTCCTCGAATAATGGTTAATAACTGCGCGACAAGGTTACCTATGTAAGAATATCGTAATCGTGACTAATAGATTGTTATTGTTATATTCATAGATAAATAACTATTATAATTTATTGTACACGACTACTTGGATTGTACATGGATATTGTGTAAATTCGTAAAATTCGATCGTTTATGGCGAAAGGATATATTGGCGAACGGATGTATCGGCGAAAGGATATTTTAGCGAAACAATTTATTTATCTGGAGCGAAAACAAAAAATATTTACTGTACTCATGTGTCGAATTTTCCGTTTATTCCGTTTTATAGTCTCCAAAAATAATACTATCAATCCAAATCCTAATAATAATATCGGTTCGGCCGGACGTCACCGTAATAATGTTCAGATCAAAATTGCATCAGATAATTTTATCTTTACGTATTTGTTAATTTGTCTAACTTTTATTTTGAAAATGCATTCTTGCCGAACTTCGCTCCGAATCGTTTTTTGTTAGCAATAGTTTATCGTTGCGTGCAAACAAAAATTAAATAACTTTATGTGTCCTACCTTCCCAAATGTTCACCTACAACAGTGGCACACCCGCACAGTGGTCCAGAAACGAAAAAAATTGGCCAAAAATCGTTTTTTAGAATTTCAAAAAAATTCAAATATTGTTTGTATAAATAATTTCTACATGACTTAAGGTATGGAACTGTACACAAATAATGCCAAAATGTATTTATATTTATGGCAAAATAAAACATTTAAGTAGATAAAAAGTTTTGTTTTAATAAATACTGTGATGTTTGGTTCATAATATTTATGTAATTCAATTGTCTCCACCAAATAAAATAGATACCAAATCATAGTGTTCATCATTTGCCACACATAATATGCGAAACACAGATATTATTTAATGACCCGATTATTAGATTACGATTATTATCGACCCATAGTAGCAGTTGAAATGTATACGCCTATAAATAATACGACGATAAATTCATAAGTTTTTAAGAACCTATAAAATTAAAATTGTTTTTCACAGAGATATCAGTACCATCAAATAGATCACAATCTACTGAACAAAAGTGTCAATTGTTTAGCTGCGCGTTTTCGCGTCATCCATTGTAGCAAGCGTTTTAACTTGAGTAAGTCTATTATTTTGTTGTGCACGAATTCTATTTTGTTCTCACAAAAAATAGATTTAATACCTAAAATTGCTCGAAGGCAAATTCATTGATATAATTATATTGAATAATACAAGCCAATGTACCAATCGAAGAAAAAAACAAATTAGCGCTAAACTATGTTTTAAATATTGTCATCCAGGATAAATATAAATACTGATATTTTTCAAAGATTGTTATTATCACCAGATCCAATTATAAGTGATATAAATCATAATAATAATAAGAGAAAAAAAGTCCTTCAGTGTGTCAAAAAATTGTTGATTGCATTTGGAAATGAATGTGATTCTCTGATAGAAGCTACAGAAGTTATGATGATTGATAGAATAGTTGGATAATAAATAATAATAGAATTGTTTGAATCTAGTGTTAAAAATGGGTGTTGCCGTTCAAAAACATTTTATTACATTCCACATGCGCGCAAATATTATGAACTAAAATGTATCCTAAAGTATGTATTTCTGTACCTTCTATCACCTCCCGAAAACAAAATTCAAATCAAGGTTCGTCCGGCCAAAATATTTAGTGTTACCTGGAAACTAAATTATATTGCACATTTATTTATAGCTGTATAATTAAAAAAAAAAAAATGAGTTAAACATGAAAATTTAGTTAAATTAATTTATAGTTTATTGTTTTAAACTAGTTCTGAGGTAATTATAATTTTGGTCAATTACTTTCATTTTTGGACCACTGTGTCCCCTGTTTTTTTAGATTTTTTTCTGTATTATTTCTACTCTAAATAAGTAAACTGTTTCGCCGAAATATCCGTTCGCTAAAATGACCGGATACCATCCATATGGCCGAAGGTCTTTGAAATCGTTTTATTTTACGTAAAAGTGATAGCGAAATTCTGGGATTTTTCGAAGTTAGTTACATGGTAAAGCCACGGTAACCGTGATAGACGTATACGTCTAGACGGAGCATTCAGTATGATAATGCATGTAAATGGATGGTGGTCCTCACGAGGACTAAACGATAAAAACACCGAGAGTTTTTAACGGCTGTCCTCGGGATTAGATTAGTGGTTTTTCTAGCATTTCTGTCACCTATCACTGTTTATTTTCCTTAACTATTGTGAATTGACACCACTACGCCCTCGGTATTCTGGGCTAATGATCCGTCTAAATAAAGCGATGTTTGAGTTAAAGTCAGTAGAACTGTGTTATCATAATATCTGATCATATTTTGTTTTACTGTCATTTTTGACGATACTTTTGAATACTTCTAAAAATGCCCCGGGAACCGACGGAATCGCTGTGTATTATTATCATATGGCATAATATAACTAATGCATATGCACGCAGAATTGAATGCTTATTCGAATTTGGATTATTTGTAATAGAAAAAAAAAAAAAAAACACTATCAATGTTGATTAGGTTATTTCGTGAATCCTAGAAGGGTTCTTGAGTTTATTGTTCTCCAAAACTTTGGTAAAATGTATTTTATATTTTTACTCGATGCGCATAATATTCTATACGAAGAAATCCCGATAAAATGGGTCGGGAATGAAAGTTTTAAAACGCGATTTGTCAATTTGGCGATCATATTTTTCTCGTCAATATTCGTGAGAGTTCTTAGATACGTAAACCCGAAACCAGAAAAAAAAAAAAAAAACACATAACATATACGTAAAAGATAGGTGTTTTATTCTCGTTAAGAATCCGAACGGTGTCATCCGTCGCGGCGTACTAAAGCGGAGTCTTAGGAACGTAGCTATAAAAAAAAAAAACAAAAAAAAACAAAAAAATAATCAACACATCGATCACATATTGCAACGTCGCGCGCTTTCTAATGAAAGAACCGTTAAACTTTTCTCGTGGCGGTATAATATGATGTATCTCCGTATACATTTGAATATAAACTTTCGTTGTCAAGTCGTGTGTACGGATTATATTATAATGAAATACTCTGCGAACTATACCGTAACTTGTTCCATTTATTATACGGTATATACGGCGGCGGCGGCGGCGGCGTAGTCTTCGTCTCGTATACGTCGCGCGAGGTGAATTATCGATATTTATTTTGTCGATACATACCGTAATAATATGATATATAATGACTATAAGTTACGGCGTGCCAGTATATATCCTCTAAAGGCCGCGGTTTTCGACCTAATTTTTTTGTTTTTTTTTTTTTTTTTGTAAATACCTACTCCTACAATTTTTTCCGCGGCGCGCGTCGGGACCGACGGAAATCCTTTTTTTCACGAAAACGTTTTTTTTTTTTTCGTTTTTCATTCCGGGTCATAATTTATACCTACTAAATTTTAGCGGTTAGATTACGGGTCGTGCCCGCCGTCCGCGCACAGGACTTTCCACAGGTTTTCTTGTTCGGGATTTTTCGAATTTTACAACAAATTTTACGACGCATGTCCGCAGGCGGTTCACGCGGGATTTGCTTAGCACTCCTCGAACAACACGCGCGTTGAAAACGTTCGAATAAACGAAACAGCGATATTTCAACAATAACATAATCGACAAGTACGCAGTTGGATAAACGCGTGATCGATAGAAATTTAAAGGCGAAATTATTTATTTTTTTCGATTTTAGTTCTATCGATTACAAAGAAAAGACATATGGTTAAATGTGAAAAATGCGCAAACAAAAAGAAATAGAAACTATTAGGTAGTATAGTAATTGTTTTTAGATTTAAAAAATAATCGATTATTTCAAATTTCATATTGGAAATTGTGATGTATAAATTATCACTCTGCTAGATTCTATGTCAAGCCGAAAATAAAAATTGAAAATAAGACTCGAACGGCTCAAGCACTGTTCATAATAAACGTTTGCGTCTATACATACGCGGCAAAATAAAAATTGACTGCCGATTCACCAGATACAAATTCTAGAAAAGGATCGAGATTTTAACCTGCGTCCAGTAATCGAACTTTTTCCGTATAATTCCGACGTAAAATCGCCGTGTAAACCAATCGAATCCTGGATTATATTCTAAAACGTCAGTGTCATATAAGGGTACATTAGAATGGGTCCCGGGTCCAAGTGGTTTTGATAGGTAGTACACTGTCGTTGGGTCCCGATGAATTTTGGGTACTATTATGCTAGTTGAATCCCGGATTTTGGCAAGTTATATACTAGTCGGGTCCAAACTTTTACGAGCAATAAAAAACAATTGTCTTCTCAGTTTTACAGACTAAGGAGTGTCAGTGATTTATAGTTTAAAATAAAAAACAAGTGTGATTAAATACATTTTGTTTTGCCAGATGAATTAATATTTTGGAAAACATTCAGAAGGTGGGCCTCCGGTCGTTCAACGAATATTAATTTAGTATAATATAAAAACAAATTTTAATAATATTTTAATTAATTTAATTTAATACTAATGCACTAAATGTACTCAGGTAAAAACGTATAAGAAGAGCGTTTTGACATTGTCTTTCTGTAAAATAAATTCCCGTCGTTTTTTTTCCATACTTCTCACTTTGATGCAAGTATCGACTTGGGTACATTTTAGAATTTATATTCAACTCACTATTAACTCGATAACCAACCAGTGTAGAACCTGTGGAAATCTGGGACCCTACTAGTATAGTACTCGTGGAAATCCGGGACCCAATTAGCATAGTACCCGCATTAACCCGGGACCCAACTAGAGTGGGTTTTTGAACACGGTACCCAACTCGGATGCGCGGCAGAAAATATCTGTAGACAAAGATAAAATACAATAATATTCTTAGTCTTCTTCTCATTCGGTAGTTCCACATCGAGAGTCCGTTACCGTTCGAGCGAGCGTACGATTAGTAATATTTCTCCGTCGCCTATAACATACCGGCCGACCGGACTGTACACACTGTACAGAGTTAATTCGAAAAAAAAAAAAAACCCGATAAAAACCGTATATTTTTTTCGCGCCGTCGACCGAGCGCTTTATAAAAATAATATGTAATTACGTCGACGAGTGCGCGCCAGTATTGTTGATGATGAACAGCGTGTTAGCGCGCGATATGAAATTTATGGAAATATTCAAAGTTGTAATATGAATATCGTTATGTTCGGCGTACCGCACCGTATTATTATACAATCATTATTAATGATGTCGTAAATTCGGGACGAACTGATGTGTTTTATGGCGTACATAATAATGTGTATCGCGTGTATATTATACCCGTACAGACACGTGCGTATTGCGATATTCCGGACTAATGTGGTCTGGGCGCGAAAAACTTTACATTATTCGATTTTTCGACGATAACACAATTTAACGACGGAGACGGCGCGTTGAATTTACGAAAAAAGATTAGCGGACCTCCGCCAATGCAGAACCGGATCGCATTAATAGATACCCAATATTCTCTTTTGTTACGCGAAAGATAACCGAACGCCGTACACACAACGCAATATTACGCGGCTTGTTGCAGAGCGTTCCAAGCTCTTCGGCTTCGTTAACCGTATCTCCGTCGGTTTCCGCCACCTTTCTCTCCCCAAACCCCCCCTACTGTTCCCTTGTCCGGCCAATCCTGGAATACAGTTCTGTTCTCTGGGACCCCAGCATCTCTGTCGCCAGCGATATGATCGAGCGGGTCCACAGAATGTTCCTCGGGATGGCCGCTTTTAGACCGAACTTTCCTGGCTCCCATTACGAGTACTCTCCTGTCCTCCAAGCACTTCGTATGATTAGCCTCGCGGATCGCTCCGCATAATAACTCCCGTCCAACAAAATCGATTCCCCTTCCTTGCTTGTGGAAATCTATTCGCGTATTCCCTTTCGTTCGTAAAGCCGTTCTTCCGTTCATTTTTACGTTCCTCATAAATTATCCGATTTCCCACAGAATTCCCGCATCCCTTCCTTTAGTTATTGTTGTTATTTTTGCATGTCGATTATAATTTCATTGGACTCAGCCGCCCGTAATGGTGTAAATCAAATAAAAATAAAATAAAATAATGTAATACGTTACGCACTACAAGTTACTATATGCTACTTTTGTACAACGAAAACAATTTCGGTTACGCGAGTGCTTCGATTTTCGCGCTAAATACCTCAAAACGAGCGGCATTTTGTGTCCGATAATTTTCAGTTTTTCACCCCGGGTCTTTTACTATTAGATTTGTTTGTCGACGTCCGAATCGCTCCGTTCAGAACCGTTTCGCGACGGCGTATCGTCGCGTATCGCCACCATCCCCGGGAGCGGTACGGACTCAATTTTTTTCGACCGTTTCGCCGGGGCTGTTACGAAATCGTCGAGAAAAAAAAAAAAAACTTCGCGGATCTTTCAGGAGGACAACGGCAGCGGCGGCGCGGCGTCGACGGGCTCACGTCGCATAAGCCCGGGGACCCGTCACGTTATCGCCGTCGCCGCGGCCGTTTCGTCGTTTCGACGGTGACAAACGCACATGTATCGTCGCAAAGTGGACGGGAAAACGCGATTAATTTTCTTTCTCTCGCCGTGCACAGCGAACGCGCGCACCGCGACCGCGGTACGCGGTACGCAGACGTCCGCGGACACCGAATGAGGTTATTTAATTAACGGCCGCAGCCGTCGACGTGTCCGCGAAAAACAACAATAACGTTTTTATTTCGCCCTTGTACGGAATCTCTGCGGCGACCCGACCGCGGCGGGGTTTCGGCGTGTCCGGGACGCGTCGTCATCGCCGTCGCGCGCCGCGCTACGGAGTGATCGACGTACCGGCCGTTATCGCGGGAAAGCGTTCGTTTTTCGCACGGCGGGCGGGCCGCTGTTGTTGGCCAGAAGTCGGGATGGTAGCGGAGAAAATTTAATGTATATCCGTACGCAACGATTGATTCCGCGCGGAGTTCGGCTGTACGTTTTTTGAAAGGCCGTAATGTATATGTATATATATATATATACGATTTGAAAATAACGGAATTTTTCCCCACCGTTTGTTGTGGAAACTCTTGGGGAAATAAAAAAAAACGACCCGCTTAGAGTACCACCCCAGTCAGATTTCCTTTGAGAAAAAGTGCTTAACTTGAAAATCGGATTAAATCTTCAGGTATAAAAGTTTTTCAAAGAATAAAAAAAAAAAAACAAACATTGTTGTGCAACCAATACATATCTCGCTCCGCTCAGAATCTAAAATGAAATAAAATACGTGTCGGTGTTCAAACCGTCGATTTCCGTCAACCCGTCGGCCGGATATTTCACTTTTGTGCAATATTTCGACAACGGTTCGACGGGCAGTGAAAATTTCAACGCCGAAAATTAACATCCCCCACCCCCACACCCCTGTCTACTTGCGGAATTTTTCGCTCGCCCGAAAATAACAGCGCATAATGTAAAACTTTACTTTTGACATAAAAATCCTCTGAGGGGGCGGGATGGCGGGTGGGGAAATCGTTACTATACGTTTCTGTGTTAATTATTTGTGAATTCGCCACAAAACGCGCGTTGTATGCACGAGGACTTTCCGGTTGGGTCGGTCCGGCGGTTTATATACGTATCGCATAACATCTCGTGTTATCGCAATACGCGATAAATACACGCCCATCAATGCGCTAAACAAACAAGAACTCGACGTTTCTACAAAAGAAAAATAAGTAAAACGACATTTTCGAATAGCGTGCGCACACATATAAATATCAGCCCGCACTGCGGTATATCATCCGGGCTGATCGACAACCCGTGGGGAGGGGAGGGGAGGGGGGGAGGAGAGGAGAGTACGTTGACCGGATAAATGACGCGGCCCTCATTCTCCGCGCTACACCCCCGCACGCTCCCCGTTTCCCCTCCACCACGAATGGTGACATCGCTCGCACACCGGATCCGCAGTCTCGACCCGAACTCGCGACTCATTACCGCGAACGCGTGTGCGCGCGTTCATTACGCGCGGAGCACACAGACCGTTCGCCGCGGACGGTATTATATTTCTCCGGGCGGATCGCAATCGCGTGCTCGCCTTTTTTTTTCGAAATCCTTTTTTCCCCGTCCAACTTTTCTGCCGCGGAAATCTCGCTCCGGTTTTCGAGCGTACGGCGCGTTTTCGACAAGCCAATTTTTTCATCTAGTCGGTACATAACGGGCCGGTTTTCGATTTTCTCCGTAGTTTTCTGAATAACCGGAGGGAGGGGATGGGACGTAGGGAAATGGAAAACGTACGGCAATAACGGTTTTTTTTTTTTTGTAATTCGGTAAAAAAACAATAGTACAGACATGCCATTTACACCGAATACTTATACGGTTCTTTTCTAGTCTATAGCTGGTGATTTTCGAGTTATTTATAAACATTTGACCATTTTTACAACTCTTTCTATCTCTGTCCGTATTTAACAAGTTTTTCATCCGTAGAAGACTATTGGTCCAATCAAAAACTTCATATAGAAGCTATAATATCTTTTTTTAGCGTTTTCAAACTATAGTTGGGAAGATGTATTTTCAAAATTACTCGTTCTTTTACTGATAATGGGGAATACGCCCCTCTCCCAATAAAAAATAATTATCGAGTAAACAACCGTATTCATAATGACTCTGTAACTAATACCGAATATATATAATAATAATATGTTAGAATTGTCTAGACGTGGTGTGATTTTCAAAATGTGTTGGCTTTTTTTTAGTTTCCTTCATTCGTGGCATTTACAAATGGTATTTTCGAATCGGCAGATAGTAATTTTATAATTTTACTTATTCGTCCAGGTTCTATTGCCAATTATAATTCAGAGCGCATTGTTTTTTATTGCGTAAAAATGTGTATTACTTCAGGTTGTTTCAGGATAGATCATGTAATCGTTGTAAAATCCCGAAATCATAAATACGAGAAAAACAATTTCTTTTTCCAACCATTATTTACTCCCTCAATATACGTACACCTAATTGTTGTTGTTGCTTGTTTTTATCGACATAATAAAATCGTTATAAAATTTAAATTTGTAGAGGAAATTATTATTTCGATTCCTGGATAACATAATCTCACGTGAAAAACACTAGAATAAAGGTTGATTTGAAACAGTCTGTATGTCAAACGACTGGAGTGTGGCTCCTCGAAATTGTCTCAACACGTTACGTTATTGGAAACTATTGCTACACGATCTGTGAATATATTCGCGTGTTCTGATGGTCCGATATAACAGACACACTTCTTTATCATAAATTATGACAGAACACCGGAGCTAGGTTAAAAATCCTAGGTCCTAGGAGATTTCACTGAGAACGAATTCAATATGTTGTGTACATTTATTACAACTACCGTGTGTTTCACTTTATAAATTTAACCGTAGCAATTCGACGAATTACTATTATTATTGTTTTTTTGTTTTTTTTTTTTTTTACACAACTGCCAATCGCTATTGAGACTCGCGTTTACTATTTATATTTACTCGGTACGTTTGAACATTGCATTTCGCAGTCTCATTGGGTCCAGTAAATATGAGCTTCGCAAACAAAACACGTACGTCGAATATAGAGACCCCGTTGCTAAACAGCACACACGTTTGCGGCCCTCCGTGTCGGTCATCTGCGTATAAATTGAAAATATAAAGAGTACACCAAGGCGGTCATCAGTATTTCCACTCACAACATTCGTTGTTCGAATATCCGGGCGTGTAATACAAATAAATATTTTGAAATACACCTGGATAAAGACAAAAGATAGTGTAATTGCTAAAATAATTATTATAGGTACCTATTATATTAGGCAGTGGTGTACACAGAGGGGGGAGGCAGGGGGTTAAACCCCATACATTTCTTCCTTCGCTGATTTTCTTAAATCGAATTTTACATTCAAAAACCTACCTCATACCACGGAATAAATACAATTTAATTTCATCGAAAATCATTTATTCAGTAATAACAGTGATAGTACTGTATTGATAATATTTATGCTATCCCCCTATAGAAAATTATTCAAAACCCTTCCCGAAAAAAAATCCCGCATGCGCTACTGATATTAGGTAAGAAATTGAATTAGCAAGAATGAAGACGTTTAGATAAATATCGACTTTTTATCTAGATAACAAAAAAATATTATTATTTGTAAATTGAATATCACAAAACTAAATACTAAAAGCAATAACGTACCCGTGAGGGGGAGATTTATCCGCCTTCATGGACTATGTTTATGTATATATGTTTATTATTTTTCGGGTTGACTGTTAATCACGTTTCCAGTAATTTCTTCCATTCCAAGATCGTTTTTTACATCGAACAATAATAAAGCGTATTTAAGAAGGTACAATACGGCAAAATATAGATTCGATGGATTAGCTATAAATATAAAAGAAGATATGAAAAAATTATACAATTACTGATTTCGCTCAAAATAGTCCTAGGAAGATTCAACTCTTAGTGGGATGAAATATAAACATAGTATTGTTATAACATATGCCAAGACGTTATACAATGTATATTCGTCTATACTCATCATTCAAACAAAACCGTTATCAGCCCCTTCATTCCTTCAATTAAAAAAACCTGGTTACGCCACTGATCAAAAGTGAAGGTATTAATTTGTATAATTTGTGTAAATATATTCATCGAGTAAAAAATATTTTTATCTGCAAAACGTAAGTAAGTATTCGGAGGGTCCCATGAGAATGTATACACTTCAATTATCGAAAACAAAATATATATACATATGTGGATACAAATACGTTTGGGAATTTTTTATTTATGGACCATTTTGAGCATTTTTGACTGCACAAACAACTTTTACAACGATAATTTTCATTGTTTTTTTTCTCTTAAGGGTAGGTACCTACATTAAGAATGCGTATGCAGGAGATATTCGATACTTTGGATCTCTTTAAAGGTCACTGTAATGAAGTTTAAATATGAGAACTATAAAAAAAATAAAACTTGTTGATCGATATTTCTGAACTGTTTTTGATATGATTTATTAAAAAAAAAAAAAAAAAAAAAGGAAAAATAGACGCGATGAAAATGTAGTCAGATAATCGAAAAAAGACCTGATAAAGACTTTTTTTTCAATATTTTGTCATTTCAGTTTTTTTTTTTATACATATATATATTTATATGTACATTTTTATATACATTTATATGTATATATATATATGTGAGTCATTGAAACAAAAATTTGAAAAAATATGTTCCATCGCTCTTATATAATACTCGTTGTATACAATCAAACTAAAAATGAGTGGAATTTAAAAAATAAACCATGATAATCATGGACAGCGTTATAAAATGAACGTTACCAAAATGAATATTGTAGGCAAATCAGGAACGTTTAAAAAACATTAAAAGAAACAAAATGAAATCGTTAACGCCGTAAATTTGTCAGTTTTTTATTTTTAGTTTTTTTACGTTTTCGATTTATTATAAAAACTGTTCTGGAAACCGTGGCTTTGTTGTTCGTTAACTAGATAAAGTTTTTTCTTTTTCAAAAAAGTTGTTACTATTGAAATTTGGAGCAAGATTCCTGGTAGAAAGCAAAAATCGACAAAATTAAAAATAATGAAATTGGATACGAAAAACAAAAAATTTTAAAAGAAAAACACATCATAGTAAAACCAATACATTTATGACTACGTTTAAAATCCATGAAAGTTAGATTCAATAGATACACATTATCCTTTACACCTTGGGTCATCACCGTGACCGGCCACTGCAGTTTCGAACTGGCCATAGTCCATAGGGCCGCGAGTCAACGATTTATTATGTGTGTTGACTAAAAATATTAATTATTGTAAAACAATATTTTGATCAAGTTTCTTCTATCTTCACGGGCATCCCGTGGGTTAGGGTGGCCGATCGCTTCACTCCTGGATTATCATTGAATCGAAATAGAATTATATTAAAATCGAAACTGCCGATTGCCGAGCCGACGACATTATTGATTTTTGCTAATTTTTGACTTATATTATGTAATTAAACCTATATCACATGATCGTGTATTAATGGTAAGAGTTTACTTCATGAACAAATTTGTATTATATTTTTAAATTCACAAGCGAAAAAATGTATATGGACACTCAGGCTCTAATATCAATATTGTCCGGTGTCCCAGTCACTCTGAATAATTCTATAGATATCCAAATAAATGTGTGATATCACTTCTTAATAATAAATATATACATTGGTGTATAATATACACTCAATACTTATACTCGTATAAAACAATTCTGGAATCTTAACTCTAATTAATTTTTACATTCAAAATCGACGAGTATAATGAAACTTTTTTTTTTTTTTTTTTTGTAATTTTGAAACAGTATTGTGCGCTTTGTAGAAACGTCTGTCGGACAAATTTTAGATTATCTTTTATAAACTGAACTCTTAATAATTTACATTATGTGGAAAATTAAAACGTTAATTAATTATGATTTATGCGTATATTTAATACAACAATATTATTATTGAAATACTTTCTTATTTCGCGTCTTTGTGTTGGACGAAACAAGAGAATATTATTTTTGTTAACTTTGTTTTAAAGTATAAAGCAATGATAAATTGACGTTAAATCATTAGGTAAGTACGTCAAGTCGAAAACGAGTCTCAGTGATGAAGTTCGACTAAATAATTAAAAAGTTTCTATTTAATATAATATTTCTCGACATTTTTTGGGGAAAAGTTTGTGGAAATTCGAAAAATAATCCCCTCAAAGTATACTGTGGTCTGTGGATAACTTATTGTGAATTACTTATTACTTGTATGAATAAATAAAGTTGAGAAGAAAAACAATGTTTTCCGTGAAAATAAAAAAAAGAGATAATAATACAGTAATAAGTATACTGTTTTGCTTCTTATTACTATATAATATAGGTACTTAAAAAGCCCGACCATACATCGCACTGTGGATAAACAAACTGTTATAGGTAGGAAGTTTGAAATGTTTAGGATATAGGGTGAATTAGCTAACATGCATGAAAGCAACGATAAGTCATAGCAATTAAAAAGGTTTCTGAGTGAATGTCGGCAAACTGGTATTAGATTATTATGTATAAGCCGTGTTTTTCTCTAAATATTTGTATAATAAAGCTAAATTAGAATTTGCCGGGAATCTAGAAAATTGTTTCGAATAAAGTACCATAAGACGGAAATTTTGTGATTCCAATGGTACTGCGTGAAAAAATTCGAGTATTTTTAATTTACAAGAAATTAGTTTTCTAAGAGAAAAAAATACCTACATTCAAAGCCTAAAAAAAAGAGGCAATACTGTTGATGAGTAGAACTGTTTTGTGAGTGGAGTTTGAAGGTAAAATGTATAGGGTAATTTAATTTAAATCTAAATAACGAAAAAACATTGAAACAAAAAAATATTCAGAGCAAGAAAATTATTAGTTGTATTTTTTCCCTCGTTGCCAAGGTAACCCAGAAATAAACGGAAATTATACATCAAATAGCTAGTTTTTCCATTAATTAAAAATATCAAAAAAATGATTTCTACCGTGCACAAACAAGATCAAAAATCCTATAGAAATATATTCTTAAAAATTTGATTAGCGCAAGATTTCTGGTAAAGAAGTCGTTTACAGATACACAAACAAACAAAAAAAAAAAAACAAATTATAGTAGAACTTCTTCGGTTCGCTTAGCATCTAAAACTAAAGTTGGTTTTTTCGGAGGTTAATACGTATTGTACAATTTTTAATAAATTTGTCATGTCGTTCTATAAAATATAATTTAAATGAAAACAAAAAATTAACAGTCCACGTAAACCTAAAAATGTCACACATCATAATTAATTAACGGAGGACGTAAAAAAACGGCAATATATTATTATAAATTATTATCCATCGTCTTCGGTCATAATTCAAATTTATACTAGTTACCTATACTATTATTTAAATATTTCAGATATATTTTTAACGAGGAACTTAGAAAAATAAAAAATGTTATTCTCGCCAAACGTATAAAATATTATGTTATACATCGTTGAATGATTATGCAGGTGATATTTTTTTTTATCGTCTAGTGAATTTCTCGAAGTATTCTATGTAAATTTGATTTTTTTCGTTTTTTCTGGTGTCTATATTGAATTATGTGAGTTTTGTTTCAACAATAATTTACTAATATTTACCTCCAATCCTTAAACTTTGAATGAGAATTAACTTTTAAATTATTACGATTATAATTATAATAATAGTTACCCGTTCCCCCCAATTTGTCATCACAAACTCGAAGAAATTAGATTTTTCATAAAATGCCAGTGCACATAATGACGTACAAAACTAATATTGGATGTACCGTGCGTATATCAGTTGAAACGGTTTAAAATTTAGATCGCAGGAGTATGGAAGGTCAATGTATTTCATTAAGTTTATAGATAACGACCCGCGATAAATTCTTCCAGTCTAAATGGTAAACCTTTATAATAGTTGCTCGTAATTGGTGGATCCGATATTACCGTTATGTAGTCAATGTATACATTGAAATGTTTAAACGAATATTCTATTTTGGAAAATGACCAGAAAAATGGGCGGGGGACGGAAAATTAAAAGTTAATTAATTGTTCTCTATGACATTAGCGTGACATTTTGACAATATCCTGAGTAAGATCACCGTAAACGAGTAATACAACCAAAATCAATTTTATTCTGAATCGTCGTATTTATATAGTTACATCATAAAAAAACAACTTGCATTTTCGTAGAAATTAAGTCACTTTCCGTAACGAACAAGGGTAAATTTCATTTTGTCCAACTTTTAATTATGAATACAATTTTTAAAAAAAAAACATTATTGTAAAAATATTCAAATTTCATTTCCTAATGGTTAAACGTATGTATTGATGTTTGTAGAATTTAAGACGCCTTAATAATATTAAGTTTCATTTTAAACAAAATAATCGTATTTTTGAGGTTTTTTTTTACAATAAACTATAATTAAAAAAAAAAAAAGAATATAGCACTTTTCGACCTTTTTTGTGGATTTCCCAGTTAGTCTATTTGTTGTCGTACATGTGTACATACGACTTTAATGTTTTCGTTGGAAATCAACATTTCAGTATACATTTTAGATTCCGAGTGAAGCGAAGAAGTTTATGGTTTTTGAAAGATGTTTATTTTTTTTCTGGGGACAATTTTTCTACCCGAGTTCATGCTCCGATTTTCAGGTGTAGCACCTTTTATGAAAGGAAATTGATATCGGGAGGTCATTTTACCAGTTTTCTCATAAAATGTGGAAAACCGAAAAAAAACCTGAGGAAAAACGGGAAAATCGGTACATTATACAAGTATTATTAAAGAAAAAATATAATGCCTATTTAATAATTTTACCATAATATGACATATATGTTGTCGACAAAGCATCATTATCAACTGAACTCCGCTCAGAATCGTTCTTTTGTTAGAAATGGTTTATCGTTGCTTACAGGTATACATCAAATTACCTATAACAGTGGCTGCACCAGACCTTATTATCCTAGTACAGCTTTTTTAAAAATTAATTATATCTAATCTCTTTGGACGAGTAGATCTTTTCGTGGGTCATGCAGATGAACATTTTCTATCAGACGGTTGTGTGTGTTAAATCGAAATTAAAAAAAATCACTAATTTTTCTTTGTCGTAGATGATGTATAATATATACGTGTACTTAATATTAATGTAGTTTTAATTAAATTATTATTAGCCATCTGAGAGTAAAAGAAAACGTGAATTATTATGATGTGAACAAATTTAATACGATTGTAAAATATTGTAGTACACTTTTTGTAAGAACGTTAAAAAAAAAAATTCGTCACTAATAAAATCTCAAAATCTCGGTCGACGTTTCCGCCGGAAGGATTGTTTTTACGACCTACAAGTTACATTTTTTTTTTTTAAGCCAACCGTAACACCGGGTCACAATAACAAAACGAACGACGGCTCGAAACAGTAAAAATGTGCACGAATAACTTGCAACAGATGTTTCATAATCATGTTATTATTACAAAAAATTAAAAATAAAAAACACTTCTATTTGACGGTTTTCTGAATATTCTCTGAAATAGGATTGGTCGGTTAAATAAAAGAAAAAAATAAAACATTTTTTGGTTAAACCGAATAGTCATTGTGTATTCGATTTATCATATTATAGGCGGTTGACTGCCAGAACACCGAAAGTCACTTTTTATTAACAAATTATGATGAACAATAATTATATTGGGTCGGAAAAACGATTCAGGGTTTAATCTCGAACTCGAATTTTCGTTTATTTAGCATGTACTCTATATTGTGTTTTACCGTTTTATTAGTTTGCTACGTGATTTTGAGGAAAACATTTCTGTAGAAAGTAAATAAAAAAAATTACCTTTTTAAAATAGCATCCACGGTGTTTGAATCGTTCAGATTCGTATACAATTTTGCCGGACGAAATATTTTCAGCGTGCCATTTTCACAGTAAAAATATATTTGAAGATAAATGATAAAAAAGCTGATATATTATAATAATAATAATTTATTCGTCGCATAGTTTGTAAAATACGATTTTTTTTTTAAACCTATTTAATATTTCATAATTTCGAATAAAAATGAAAAATAAAATAATATCCATAATAATTGTCAACAATTATTTCAAAATAATATAAAAATCTACCGTTATCGTGAATTCTTTGGTCCCAAGTAAGAAGGGCTTAAATCAATTTCGTGTGGTTTTCAATAAAGGTAAAATAAATTTTGAAAATTGCTAAACGACACGATGGTACAATTTATCTAGCCAATGTCTAAATGGCCTTACCAAATATAAATACGGCGTCCTAAATTGCTTACGTTATATAATGTATAATTATATACGACTAAAAACCTTTTTGCTAAACAAAAAGTACATCATTAAGACTTAACACCGGAATTTAATTTTTCAGTGTAACATGTGTTAGAATAAACGTACATATATGCCGTCCGGATCGAGAAATAGAGGGGGAAAACTACGCAAGACTAAAATTTAAGAACAAATTCCAAAAATCGACTTAAGCCTTTCTTTCCAGGGACCAAAAAATGATTGGTAACATTTCTCCGTCGTTGTAATAGTACAAATAGTATCAGTCGAATTTATTTTATTTCAAATGCTGGGTATATTCTATTTGTATTCAAATAAATAATAATATAGTTAGGTTTTCCGAATACGTATATCCCCATTCGTGTTGTATAGTTTGTTTGAACATGTTAAAAGTTTACGAAATCTAAGAAATATGCACTAAATCCACATACAATTCTAAAATATTGTATACAGATTCGGTTAGGTCATAAAACGCATTTTGGTATTTATTGCCTTTTTTTTTTTTACTAATCAATAAAAAGATACAAACGCATAGTTTATAAGACCCTAGTAAGAACATTTTTGAAATCATTGAACGATTATTATGATTTTTTATAAGTCCATATTGATTTGTAAATAATGAAAAAAAAAATATTAAAACGAATTTAGTTAAAAGTATATATTTATTTTTTTCACATGTGAATAATAACAAATGATTGTATTACGTGTATTTTACGATTGACCAGTTATTGGTGATTAAAAATTAACAATCATGAACAAATTATTCGTGTTTTTTTTTTCAGTTGTGTAGATCTACTTGCGGTTATATAGTATTCAAAACCGTTTTGTATGCGGACACGTGTGATATTGCGAAAGTGGTGAGACCGCGTTTTTTTTTTCCACGACAGCGGAAATAAAAATTCTACTTTGGTTTTCCGCCTCCTCGGGAAAAAATAAAAACAACATTGGTAAATCGTTAGCTGTCTTAAAGTTCCTGTACCTACGTGCTCGGAGACGCTATTGACAATCATATTATTATTATACTATACGTACAGCCGTGTCTATACTGCTAGGTAACAATCACGTGCGTTTATAAAGATTTCAGCTACTCTGCATTATCGCGTCGTCTGTCTGTGAAGTTCTTGCCGACAAAACGTTTCGCTGTATTTCGTCCGTATCACAATATTGTTATGATGTGTACAATCATCAATTAGTCAATAACACAGTAATTAATATTAGATTATACAAAAAAAAAAAAAATATAAAAATATATATATTAATTAAACCTTAATATGTTATTGTCAAATTATATTTCTGTATCAAGACAACTACTATGTACCATTGTACCACGTGTGTCGTATTTAAAACCAATAAACAATAACGGTAATCTCACTATTTTCGGGTCATTACAATATTATGTCCGTGTAAAAACCGTGTAGAAAAACAAACGGACATACATCGCACGATGGGTGGGCCACCGTTGTAGGCGACAAGTCGGGAAGTTATAGAGGGGAAATTTAATGTACATCTGTACGCAACGATTAATCATTGCCAACGAAAAACGATTATAAGCGGAGTCCGGTTATATATTTTTTTTCAAAGGCCATAATATTTACAATATGAAAATAATTCATTTCGTAAATTTTTCCGTTTTCCGCGGTTTTTCCCAATTTTTATCGGAAAATAAAAAAAAAATGCCGTCCTTGAAGTACCATCCCAGTCAGATTTAATTCCAGAAAAAGTGCTATTAATTTGAAAATTGGAGTGAAATTTCTGGTACTAAAGTCGTTCATATAAAAAAAAAAATAAACATCATTGTAAAACTAATACATTTCTTGCTCCACTCGGAATCTAAAACTGATAATAATAATAACAATAGCAATTTGTATTAACAACTTACTGTAGCAGGTATAGTTGTTTGGAGGAAATTGTTTTTAAAGCGTTTTCAAAAACAGTTTCAACGGGAGTAAAACAATTATCATTTTATTTCATTTCATTCGTGTAAGGTTAGGTTGTATTTAAACCGCAGCGCACGGACATTTTTTTTAAAATACTACATACAAAACTACATACTTTTGGTAGGTTGAAACCGCACACATTTAATAGGTTAAAGCCACACATTTTCTAAAACTGTTGTATCCAAAAACCGCAAATTTCACGATGATGTATAATCTGTTATTAATATTTATATACATATTAAATAAAAATTGTTTAGGTACAATTTATATATTGAAAAATGTAATGTATGGAACCACTAAAACATTAAAAACCACACGTATAGCTAGTTACGTTAACACGCGTTTCAGTCGATAACTGTATTGGAAAAATATTTAATATTGCTTTGATCGTTTATCATAAATTTATTGTAAGTTTAGATGAAATACCTAACTAACGAATGATTTTTCGAGCATATCAATCTAAAAGATATTAACATTTGTATGCAACAGATTATTTTAAAATTATAAACACAACGTGCGTATACACACAAGAGTGCAAGACTTTAACGTGCGGTTTTTACCTATTTTAAGTGTGCGGTATTCGCCTATACAATGTATCTACCTGGCAACCGATAAAGTGTGTGGTTTTTGTTTATAGACCTTTTTGGAATTGAAATAATGTCTGTGCGGTTATTGAATGCAACCGTTTTTATTTGTGTTATTTCTATAACACTGTAAAACAATGTATCCGTAATTTCGTTTTCTAACAGCGGACCAAACTGCGTATTTACAGAACACTCACTATCCGAGTTTGACCCGAACCGAAATGTAACCGAATCGAGTTGCAAAGTATATTTTACGAGTTTTATAGAATGCAACCTACTTGTTGGTCCGAACTCCATGCTAACCCGTGGAAGTTAATGTCCTGAATGTAAATCTAAAACCTACTGCCTAGTCGATGAGTCGATAAGTTTCTATTGTCTAGTGACTTTTATATCGACCGACCAAGATTAGTCAATTACTCTATTATCGAACAAACGCACCGACATAATAATATTTTGTTCCGTCTAACATTAATATCAACGTATTCAGTGGTTGTTTGAATTATATTGTCCACCCTATCCTATACCTGATACTGTATTATGTTGTGGGACCGTGTAGGCAAATAGGCATATTAAGCGGAATCTTGTTCAAGTACAGCTTAGGGTGAACTCGCATAAGACCTGGAAATACGCGACCGAGCCAGGTAAAATATTATTTGTGCGGTCGAGTGTCACTTAGCTAAGTATTTAGATATATAATACTTACGGTTCGATTACCCAGGTTTTTAACTCGGCAATGTAGATACGCGGTTCTGCCGACCAGACCGGTCACGTTACTCGGTACCGTTTTGTCGAATACGGGACCGTTAATCGGCGGCGGGATATCCTGCAGAAACTCCTGCAAGAACTTCCTGGACGCCGTTGAATCTGCAAACGAAAACGGATCGTAAAAATTAACAATATGTCGTTGTCTGCGGTTATCACGAGTTAAATAAAAAACGTATAAAGTTCTCGTTAGACCGGTACTATACTGGACGTCTATAGACTTAAACAAATTCAGACAGAGAGGAATTAATAATATTCGAGATAAACATGGAGGAGCATACATAGATGAGGGTTATGTAAAAAATGAGACAGATATAATTGGATATATAAAGCCTACTTAATTATGTTACTACAAAATTACATATATATTGTTGACAAAGCATCACTATCAACTGAATTCCGCTCAGAATCGTTTTTTCGTAAGCAATGGTTTATCGTTGCTTACAGATGTACATTAAATTCCCGTCTATATTCTACCTTCCCAACTTCTATACCAGTGGCTGCACCTGCCGACATTACCTAACCTTTTTTTTTATTATTATTATTATTTTTTTTTTTTTGATAGGAAGAGAGTGTGACGTTTGATTAGTGCAGTCCCGCTACGCACAATAATTTATTTAAACTGAAACTTCATCTATTTATGTAATTTTTAATTTATAGTTGCCATTTGAAAACAAAAATGTAATAGCGGTTCCAGTGTTTTATTCCCAAACACGAATGGAAAAAAGTGTTTATTTTCAGAATACATTATTATGATTTGCAAAAAGTTTTCTCGTAGGTTTTCATTCTTTTTTTTCTTCTTGGTGAAATTGACTGTAACGTGAAAATCGGAAGACCCTGTGTATATATTAAACAAAAATATTGTACATATACTCGGGGTTGCCTCGGGTATATCACACGGGCCATAATCGAAACGAACCGACGGGAAATTTACAACAAAACCTTCTATAATTGACAGGCCCACATTTTACCGAAGAGCTCGGGGCATAATTTTATTTTATCGTTTCCTTTTTTCGCCACGGTAACGCGTATCAATATTTTACAAATAAAATAAATAATAATCTGTTGTTAAGGAAAATATGAAAAACACCAACAACTCGGAATACAGGTAATAATAATAATTTTTTCTCGTCCCTTCCGCACAAGAGAGTTAAGTACTTATTATTATTATTATTATTATTATTTTTACAGACGAGATAAAGTTAAAAAAGTAATTATTCTATTTAATCGTTTGATTTTTTTTTTCAATACCAAAAAATATATTAAATATCAAGTTAAAAATTGGATTCACAGTTTTTCGTTGATTTAGTAATTTTTTTTTTTTTTTTTTGTTGTTATTACTATTATAGCTTATAAGTAAAGGCTAACATCAAGGAAAAAGTTCAAGGTTTATATTATATTGTATCGATAAAAATAAATAAATTGGAGTACATTATTTAAAAAATAAAACATGTCTAAAATTAAAAAAAAAATTTAGTTTAATTTCTTTACTGAAAGCTAAGATAAAATGGCGGAGACAAAAAACGATTCTAAATGGATTTAGTTAAAAAATGTATTGACATTTCTAGTTAGATTTCTTAAACGGTATAGACAAAAATGATGAAATATTGAAATTTTTTTTTTAAATAAATCGGTCGAAAATGTACTTTTCTAATATAGCATGCGAATTTTTAGTTGTATTTTAAAGAAACTTACTAATCAACACAGTTTTTTCCGAAAAAAAAAAAAGTGTGAACTGTTAAACATTTTTATGTGTGTTTCAAGTAAAGTAATATCTGAAAAAAATGTATATCCTCTTAGGTAAAATCTGAAAAAACAAAACCGAAAAGTAGTGTGCTGTTTTTTTCGACTTGTACAAATTAATTTTTTTTGAAATTTTTTTTTCAGTCATGTAAAATAATGTAGTACCCCACAAGTATTGGTTCATACAACGTAATAAAACAACGGTTGATTTACATCCGACGCTCTCAATAAAAGAAAAAAAACCTGTACAGTTGCGTTCGGAAGGCGGTAGGGTAGCGGGGGGGAGAGTCGAGACCCCCCCCCTACCACCCTTCGTCCTGGCCGCGCGTCCGAGTGTTATCGCGCTGTACCGAAAAACTCGCGCTCTACCGTTGTCGCCGTAAGAGAAATTCCGCTCCGCTTCCGATCGCCGCCGCCGGAGATTCGCCGTCCGTTATCGTTACCGAAGACCGACGGGCGCGCGGGGGGGAGGGAGGGGGGGAGTTTGGGAGTCACCCATTCGTCACGGGTCTCGAGACGACACTCTCCCCCGACCCCGGACAGGTTATATAAAATAACATTGTCGTACAATACGGCGGAACGCGCGTCGCGAGATTTACCGACGGCGACACACGACACACGCGAGGAATTCGTAATCGGGTCGCGCGCGCCGTTGCACGGGAGTACGCGGCGGCGGCGGCGGCGGTGTCGAAAGTTCGAACCGACGCGACAAACGGTCGTCGCGAGCCCGGAAAAAGAAAAAAAAAAAAAACAGAAAAAAGTTGATAATTCCATTAATTCCCGACGCGCGAAAGTTATACCGGCGCGGGGCACCGCGAAGAATATTAAAAAGACCCGCGCCGCCTGCGGCGATACACTCGCGGTAATATTATTACCATTATTATCGTCACGTTATTATTATTATTATTATTACTACGGTAACGGCGGCGGCGGTACGACGCGGTTATTATTACACCTAACCGTATAATAACAACAACAACAACAACAACAACAACAACAACAATAATAGTTATCACGGTTTGTTTTGACGCTGCGGCGGTCGAGTCGAAACTTTTTAATCGACGCCGTTCGGCCGTGCCGCGACGCGACGTGACGCGCGACGCGGCGATTTCCTGCGAAATCGACACGCGTCGTACGCGAAAAACACGTTTTTCCCACCGCGTGCGCCCGGAACACTGCGGTTCTCGACCCTATTCGTGTGCGCGTGCCGTTTACCGCGCGTTCCGAACATTTCTCACGCGCACGTCCGCGTGCCGCGATTGTCAGGACGTTTTCTTTTCTATTAATCAGAAGAAAAAAAAAAAAAACGCGCGGGTACGTCATATTTTACGCGCGCGGCACGGTTTGTTGTTAAACCTGCATGGCATTATCGGCGTGTACAACGTACAACAGTACAGTTATTGTTTATGTTGTTTTTTACCGATTACACGGACGCTGTGACCAATAACTACTTAATTTCACTTGTCGACAAATTTCGTCGCGCACCACGTGTCGAGAAGCGCCGGTCCTGACGAAACGTCCGGCCGTTTTCTCCGCGTGCGTCTCGACGCACTCGTTTTTGTTTTTCCGTTCAAACAGCGTTCGCCGAAACCCCAGTGCTTGCCGCGACCGTGAAACTAATACGCGCACGTGGTTCCTTTTTAAATTACGAATATTTTCGTCCATCAATTTTAATAGTGTCGCATATAAGTTTATGAACACAAAAACGGCGACACAGTATTTCCGAAATACTATTCAGTTAATATTTCGTCCTCGGTCGGGGAAAACAAAGTTTTCCGACACGTTTAATGTGTAGACGTCTATACGCAATACTGATCTGGGCACATATAAAATGCGCAACTCGGTGATAATGCGTTTGGACGCTGCGTCTAGACGTCGCGGGGAAAACGTACCTTCAGACGTAGGACGTCCACACGTTAAAAATGTCGAAAAGTTGTCCCTCTCGTAAGATCTTCTTTGACCGGTGATAAAATAAAATAAAATCAATCAATCAACTAATCTCCAGTCGTCGAACCCCAACAGAAAATTACTTCCGAGACCGGACGTTTTGTTTTAATATTTCAGTAAAATCGATAAAATGGCAATACGCGCGGTTTTCGAAATGGATACGTTAAAATCCCGCCATTCGATTTTAGAATATCAATTATATTACTAGTATTGTGTATAAACCAACCGGAATCCAGACGTAATTTTCAATATTCCGTTTTATTGGATCGCTTCGGTATTAAATGTCCGATAAATCCGAATAGCATAAATTAATATCATACAATTATTATCGCAACACTCAAAACGGTCAATGGCCAATAATATTGTAACTGCACATCGTATGGACTGAGCGCGTACCGAGTATTCACTAAACGATATTATAGCCCTTATCGACCAACATAACTGCAGTCGTTTTTAAGGCGAAATCATCAAGTCTGTAATACGCATCACATTCTGCGTTTTACACAAGAAAAAATAAAAGAATGCCACATGTCGATTATTTTTAGATAGGTACGGTTTCGATTTGGTCCGATACCGAATCACGGGACGCTGCTAACGAGGCGAGCGAAGACATTCACGGGGACGGTAGATCGTTTTGGTGTGCTCGTTCTCGTTGCTGAAACGTCGCGTTCATAATGATTGAATACAAATAAAAAGAATCAACACTCATAAAATAGTGTATGAGTCACGAGTATTACTGTACACAGCAGTACAGTTTGTTTAATCTAGTATTTGTTTACAACAGGTAATGAATAAATATAAAATGGCACGGAAAAGGTCGGACCAAGAATAAACGGAAAAAATACATAGACAACAAAAATGAAACGAAATAATACGAAACGGATTAAAGCGTAGTTGCACATTTATATATATCAATGTTAAAAAAGAACGAAACGAAAACAAATGAAAAAATTAAAAATTCGATGATAAATGAAAGGGCGGCAACACAAGTATGTATTAAAACTCGTCGTCCAAAAAATATACCGTTATCATTTCATCTGAAATCTATTCGAACGTTTAGAATATTGCTGAATATATTCTTATCAAACTCATTATTGTGGATAAAATAATGTGCAATTCCTTAAACACAGGGTGTACACGAATGTCGTTCTGATTGTTTAAAACGATTAGACTGCATTGAATAGAACGGTTAGAATTCAAAACACGATTCGGAAAATTCGATAAAAAAAAAAAAAAATATTTTTAATAATGTTATACGGTAATACTCGTGGCCCAATATACTTTATAATTTTTTTTTTTGTTAATAATTTAATTATGTTCCGCATTCGAATGTATATTTATGAACCTCGTTTAGTGCGTAATATTTTGTATAGTTATCGATACCAATACACCGGCGTACGGGATAATTATTT